TGACATTTCAAATCTAGGCATCGGAACATTGGCTATTTCGTGTATTAGTTTAAAAGTTATTAAATACTTTTAAAATTCGACAATACTTTAGTCTAGATTAATCGCTTGAGTCAGAAATATCACATGTTTGTGACAATTCCCAATAGTTTCTGTTATCTAAAATACCATAAAACTACCAAATTCAAGCGATTTTGTTTATCGATACGCATTATTTCCATTGAAGCCTGCGAGTAAATCAAATACCAAGGTCACAAAAGCGACATGCAAGTTCAAGGCAAACCAAATGATACATTTCAAAACAAATAATATTTATTTCATCTCTCTATGACTGTCTGACCATATGCAGACATTGTTACAACATATGAAACTCTCCTCATTAGGGTTTCACACTGCGTAGCTTACACCCGTGTGAAACACTATTGTTTTTGTTAAAATTATTATTAGGCTTTCAGACTTTGTCTGAAAGACTATTGTTTTTACTAAAATTATTATTATTATTATTATTATTTATCCCGGGAGCCTATTTCTCCATGATCGAAAACAGATATCGATCTGGAACCAAATATTCTATTGGGAAACCAGGTGGTGGCTACTCCTTAAAACAATTTTGAAACTTCTGCGCATACCGGAAGTGACCGAACTTTGTACTTTTTCGCGATATTGAAAATTGGCCGTGGTTTCGTCAATTCTTGACCTATTTTCAAACAAATGACATTTTCAGAAACCCTGATTCTTTTCCGAGACAATGGCTATCTCACATTTTTCAATTTCGAAAATTCGCCCTGGACTTCTGTCGTTCGAAAATTGAAAAAACGTAGTTTACGAGACATTTTTGTTATTTTTCAAAATTTTCAAATTTGACCTACATTTTTGGATACCTGAAGACATCTAATTCCAGAAATATAAGTTTCATTCCGAGTTATCGCCTTTAATTTTTCGAATTTTGGGCCCATTCCCCAACTCTTATATTTTTTTGAAAGGATTAATTGATGTTTCTGAAAGTCCTGAAACATAAAGCCATATGGTCATTCTGTTTTGTAAAGCAATTTCAACAACGATCCGTAAAACGGAAGTAGTCGAAATAATGTCGGGAATTTTGAAAAAAACGTAAAAAAATGAGTGCTTTTCAGAAAAACGCGATTTCTCCGTCCGATACCAACGGATATAACAAATTAAGGTATCGATGAGTGGCTCGGGGAATGGACTGTCGTATGATGCCCGATTTATACGGATACTATGAACAGGCAGCAAAATATGGCATGCTGAAAATCAAGTATTTTCTGATTTGGAGCGTTTTTGGACGCCCGTATCTCGAAAACTGCTCCAAGGATTTTTCTTAAACTTTCCTATCGAGAGTTTCTCCGGTAGTCTTGTGCATGAATCCATCCAATAAGACATTGAAATGTCTGGAATAGGTAAAATAACGTACTGAAAATCGAAAAAAGTTGAAAAATCGTGAAATTTTGGAAAATGCTCTATTCCTTTATTATTTAAACAAATTTTTACAAAAAAGTTACACATTCAGATAGCTGACCTCATTACAATTCTAATGATGTATAGTATTTATTGAAATATTTAAATTTAATTTTCGATATATTGACACTTTTGCATTTTTGCCCCTATTGAACATAGGATTTTCCAGGGGCATTTATCTGACCAGACGATGTAATATATCATTACATAGCCCTGTGGCTATTTGATAAGCCAATCCGGTTATTAAAACTATCCCGACAATAATCTCCATACCGGAAGTATTCAAAAAATGAAGAAAAAGGGTTAAAAAAAATAGCACTCTTGCGAATAACTTGATTTCTCAATCAGATGTTAGCGGACCAAAAGAACTAAAGTTTCGCTGGATAGCCCCATTATGGATAGCCCCATTAATGGACTATCATATGACATCTGAATGATACGATTTAGATGGCTAGAAAATAAATTATGGTACGCCGAAAATCTAGTATTTTCCGTTTTGGAGCATTTTAAGACGCCATTTTCTCGAAAACGAAAACTACGATTTTTCTTAAACTTTTTTTACTCAGAGTCCTATCGGTGGACTATGGCGTGAGTCCAAAAATAAAAGCATTGAAATAATATAATTGTTCCAAAAAGAACCTCAACCTTGGAAAAAAGTTGAAAAATCCTTAAATTACTGAAAATGCTCTTCTATTTTTCTGTCTATGGAAAACAGCTGAATGGATTTTTCTGAAACTTCTTGTACAGAAGGTTACGTAACCAAACAACTTGTTAAAATTATCCCGACAATGATCCAAAATCCGGAAGTAGTCGAAAAAATATCCGATATTTTGAGAAAAAAAACATAAAAAGTAAAAAAAAGGTGATTTTGCGAAAAAAATGATTACTACGTAAGATTTCAAAACAACTAAAGTGTCATTGGATAGCCCGAACAATGGACGATCGTATGACATCTAAATGGTAAAAATGCGCTGGTTAGGCAATATATATTGGGACGCTGAAAATATAGTATTTTCATTTTTGGGGGCTATTCAGATGCTTTCATCCCGAAAACTTCTCTTTTTTCCTTTCTTAAACTTCTGTTACTTAGAGTCCTGGCGGTGGTCTAGGGTGTGAATCCAAATTTAAAAGCCTCAATATAGTATAAATGGTCCAAAAAGAGCCACAATCTTTGAAAAAAGTTTTAAAAAAATGGTCTAATGGTATAAGGGAGATAACACATTAGTATCAGACTACCAATTATTTGCTAAATATTGTTAAATATCTTCTAATTTTAATTTCTTTTAAAAACTTTCCAATGGATCTTTCTGAAACTTCTGGTACAGGAAGTTAAGTTCCCATACAACGTGTTCAATCTATCCTTACAATGATCCGCAAACCGGAAGTAGTCGAAAAAATATTCGATATTTAATAAAAAAAAAACCCATTAAACATCGGTGCTCTTGCAAATATCGTGATTTCACCGTCGGGTGTGACCGCATCAAAACATCTAAAGTATCGTTCGGTAGCTCGATGAATGGGCTATTGTATGACAAACTTCCTGTCTGATTCCTGAAAGCCGGTTCAGTGCTGCTTGCAGGTCTAGTTATTATTATTATTATTTATCCCGGGAGCCTATTTCTCCATGATCGAAAACAGATATCGATCTGGAACCAAATATTCTATTGGGAAACCAGGTGGTGGCTACTCCTTAAAACAATTTTGAAACTTCTGCGCAGACCGGAAGTGGTCGTATTTCGTGCGGTGCATAAAAATTAAAAAACGGCCGTAGCTTCGTCAATTCTGTACCTATTTTCATACAAATGACATTTTCAGAAACCCTGAGTCTTTTCTCGGACGATAGCAGTTGAAAATTTCGAAATTTCGAAACTTCGTCGCTGACTTCTAGCGTTCGAAAAATAAAAAAATTTGTTTAAGAGACAATTTTTGTTATTTTTCAAAATTTTCAAATTTGACCTACATTTTTGGATACCTGAAGATCATCCGATTCTAGAAATATAATTTTCATTCCGAGTTATCGCCCTTTATTTTTCGATTTTTTTCGAATTTTCTGCCCATTGCCTAACCCTTATATTTTTGGGAAAGGATAAATCGATAGTTCTGAAAGTCCTGGAACATAAAGCTATATAGTCAGACAGCTGGATAAAGCAATTTCAACAACGATCCGGAAACCGGAAGTAGTCGAAATAATGATAGATATTTCGAAAAAAAAGCAAAAAATGGGTGTTTTGGGGAAAAACTAGATTTCTCCGTTCATTATCAATGGATTAAACGAATTAAGCTTTCGTTGAGTGGCCCTGGGAATGGACTGTCGAATGATGCCCAATTTATACGGATACTATGACCAAGCAGCAAAATATGACAAGCTGAAAATCAAGTATTTTCTGATTTGGAGCGTTTTTGGACGCCTTTATCTCAAAAACTTAACCTACAATTTGTTTTTAACTTTCTGTATCGAGAGTCCTTTCGGTAGTCTTGTGCATGAAAACATCCAATAAGTCTTTGAAATGTCTGGAATAGGATAAAAAAAGGGACTGAAAATCGAAAAAAGTCGAAAAATCGTGAAATTTTGGAAAATGCTATATTATTTTATTATTTAATCAGATTTTTACAAAAAGGTTACACATTCAGATAGCTGACCTAATTGCGATTCTAACGATGTATAATATGTATTGAGTTATTGAAATTTAATTTTCGATATTTTGACATTTTTGAATTTTTGGCACTTTTGAACATAGGTTTTCTTAGGGCCATTTTATCTGATCAGATAATGTAATATATCATTACAGAGCCCTGTGGCTATCTAATTGTTAAAATTGGTTATTAAAACTACCCCGACAATAATCTCCATACCGGACGTATTCAAAAAATGAAGAAAAAGGTTAAAAAAATTAGCGCTCGTGCGAAAAACTTGATTTCTCCATCAGATCTAAGCGGACCAAAAGAACTAAAGTGTCGCTGGATAGCCCTATTAATGGACTATCATATGACGTCTGAATGATAATATTTAGATGGCTAGAAAATAAATTATGGTACGCCGAATATCTATGGCGTTTTTGTAAGTCGATTAGATTAGGTTTTGATTTGCTAGTACGATTTTGTATGATTTCGATTTGATTAGATATGGTCCACAAATGTAAAATTTGATAATTACGATTTGGTAAGATGGCTGCCATCACGGACACCGATCAGAAAAAAAAATTGTCTCTGCTAATTATTGATGACTTGTTAAAGACAAATGAAGGTTATCTACGCAATAAAGGAAAAATGGTTGCCGTTAGAAACAATCACCTATGTCCAACAAGTTCAAGTATTTTTTTGAAAACTGAAGTGACAAAACATGTAAAAAGTTTACTGAGAAAACCTAGGATCGAGGAATATATTGAAAAAACTGTAAATGAATAAAATTGCTTAGAGGTGATCTAACATTCTTGTGGACTATAAAGTTAACATTAAACACGTCAAATGCGTTTTAAAAAAACTTTTATTATGGAGAAAAACAACAATAAGCATTAAAAATTACTTACGACGTCGAACATTCCGCCATTTTGAAAAAGTCAAATCTAATCGCCTAAACACCTCCTGGGACGATTAGGTCGATTTGCCTAATCAGTTGAGTTAAATCGTCTCACAAATGTAACGATTAGCATAATCAACTTGGTTCACAAATGCGTATAATAGCTAATCGGTCTAATCTAATCGGTTCACAAAAACGCCTCTAGTATTTTCCGTTTTGGGGCATTTTGAGAGGCCTTTTTCTCAAACACAACAACTACGTTTTTTCTTAAACTTTTTTTACTCAGAGTCCTATGGGTGGACTATGGCGTGAGTCCAAAAATAAAAGCATTGAAATAACATACGTTGTTCAAAAAGAGCCCCAATCTTGGAAAAAAGTTGAAAAATCCTCAAATTACTGAAAATGCTCTTCTATTATTCTTTGTTTTGGAAACAGCTCAGTGGGTGTTTCTGAAACTTCTGGTACAGAAAGTTAACTATCCAAACCACATGTTAAAACTATCACAACAATGATCCAAAAACCGGAAGTACTCGAAAAAATATCCGATATTTTGAAAAAAAAAACCTTAAAAAGTAAAAAATGGTGATCTTGCGAAAAAAGTGATTACAACGCCATATTTCAACGAATAAAAACAACTAAAGTGTCATTGGATAGCCCGAACAATGGGCGATCTTATGACATCTCAATGGTAAAAAATTGCTGGTTAGGTAATATATTATGAGATTCTGAAAATCTAGTATTTTCTTTTTTGGAGCCTATTCAGACGCTTTTATCGCGAAAATTACTATTATTTCCTTTCTTAAACTTCTGTTACTTAGAGTCCTAACGCTGGTCTGGGGTGTGAATCCAAATTTAAAAGCCTCAATAAAGTATAAATGGTCCAAAAGGGCCACAATCTTTGAAAAAAGTCGAAAAATCGTTATATCTGTAAATCTTCTTCTAGTGGTATAAGGGAGGTAAAACTGTCCAATGGATCTTTCTGAAACTTTTAATACAGGAAGTTAAGTTCCCATACCACTTGTTAAATCTATTCCGATAATGATCCGTAAACAGGAAGTAGTCAAAAAAAATATTCGATATTTAAAAAAAAAAAAGACAGTAAAAAAAAACGGTGCTCTTGCAACAATCGGGATTTCACCGTCGGGTGTGACCGGATCAAAACATCTAAAGTATCGTTTAGTAGCTCGATGAATGGGCTATTGTATGACACACTTCCTGTCTGATTCCTGAAAGCCGGTTCAGTGCTGCTTGCAGGTCTAGTTCTTATTATTATTATTATTCTTTTGTTTTGAGTAGATCTCGGCAACTGCTTGTCGGATCGTTACGATTTCTTCAGTTTTAATGGAAAAGTGGGTGTGACTTAGAGGATAAAGCTATTTTGAACGTTCTGCGACAATGCGAAATGTCCGAAATCACCGAAGCTATCGTTTTTAGAAATATTGCAGTATTTTTAACAATAATCATAGGATTTTAACTTTCGATACATTTTGGCATAGCCGGAGACGGAGCACATAGCTACGCTACTTTTGATTTTTTATTTTCGGCAAATCTTCGCAGATATTAGGTGCCAAATTTCGAAAATTTAAATTTTTACAAAAAACTTTTTTATTCATGAATATTTTTTAGTCGTGTTTTACGCAAAATTAACGAGTCATCTGACTTGAGCAAAAATCTGAATTTTTTTTGTCTCGGTAATTTTCCTTGGCCGCCATTGACTAATTCAGTTTTTCAGTCCTAGATTAATTATTTATTGTTCGATTTGTATAAAACAAAGTGCATATGCTCCGTTGTCTCAATTGCCATTTTTTTTGTTACCGATAGAGTTATCTGTCGGCACCGGAAGTGGCGTAATTTTACCAAAAACTACAATTTTGACAGTTAGGTACCACTTTTCGAAAGCAAATATTATTTTTTTCAAATCTGGTATAACTGAAAGGGTGCACCCTTTAAAGGCGCACAAAATGTTGGGCCCAGTTTTTTTAATTTCGATTCCGTTTCCGGGCTATTTCGATTAAAAGGTGAAAAAGAGGTGTAAAATTAAGCTATTTATATGGTTGCCTATGGATAAAATATTTTTTGCGACCTTTTTTGGATGGCTGAATGGTTAGCGTTCGCGCGCTGTATCATTGAGTCGACTGGCGTGGTTTCGAATCCCCGGTTGTACGTGACAAGGAGTAGGGTCGCCTGTCCAGCCTCGTGGGCTTTCTCCGGGTCCTCCGGTTTCCTCCCACTGTTAAAGACCCCTACGCGCAAGCGAATTATGTAAATAAAATTAAACCATATGTTAGTCCCGAAATGACCTAGTTTGTGTCGAGTGGACGTTAAATATTCTTCATGCTATGGACAGATGAGCGTATTTTTCCGCCCGATCTCGGCGATTGAAATTCGCCAGCGATTTTTTTACGTCCGATAACAAACGGGCACACGTAGCGATCGTCTCCAGAGCATACGCCACTCTGTGAGTAATTATGTCGATCAAAATGGCAGCCATTTCGAGATCATGTGATATAAACGATGTCGATGATTGGCTTATAAAAATGAATCGCCCGATAATATACGCTGGGCACGGGCACACAAGTGAATTTAATCGCCGGCGAAAAATATTCGGCCGAAAATATCTAACATGCTAGATACGAGCGACTGATCCGGCGAATAGTTCGCCGAGCAGAATCGTCGTCGCCTTGAAGGGGCACACAGGCGTATTTTTCGAGCGATTTTAAAAATCGTTGCGATCGGGTGAAAAAATACGCTCGTCTGTCCCCCACTTAATCAAGAACAGATAAAAAAACATTCCAAAACCATTTTCGCATTGCCGACTACACAAAGGATAGAAGAGAGTGAGAGAGAGAGAGAGAGAGAAATGGGGTTTAACACCCACTCGACACAAACTGGGTCATTTCGGGACTAACATATGGTTTAATTTTATTTCAATAATTCGCTTGCGCGTAAAGGTCTTTAGCAGTGGGAGGAAACCGGAGAAAACCCACGAGGTTGGACAGGCGACGCTACTTCTTGTCACGTACAACCGGGGATTCGCCAGTTGACACAATGACAGGCCTTATGATACAGCACGCACGTGCTAACTATTCGGCCACCCAACCCCCTAGTTCCTTAGCAGCAATATGAAAATATGGTAAAATACCGCTCTCCCCCCACCTCTGTTCTCAGGCTATTTTGGAACCCTTACCTTCTGTTTTTCACGGTGAGTCTTTATTTTTCGCAAAAAATATCATTTCTCAACATATCTGAATCTGACACAAATTTATAAAAATTCAACACTTTTCAAGTAGAATTTAGCGATTAAATAAACATGCGGTCTGCGACTGAATTTTGAGCCTAGTCTCGATCATCATTACTAAAGTCGGTACAATAAAATACATAGTCTCGATTATCCACTTCTTGATTTAATCATTAATGAGCGTAGAGCAGCAAATATGATCCCAATCCAGTAAATATCGCAGGCTAGCGATGACATCGAGGGTTGATTATGGTCTAATTAATGTCTAATTAATAATTTAGATAACATTTCAGACCTATAGGCAGATTTAGCTCTTACATATAATGTATGTTTCACAGAGGACTACGAAAGCGGCCTAGCGAATATTCACTGCTGATCAGTTTGAACTCATGCCCTGCTTTTTATTGGCTGGGTTGATTTCGGGGTTGTACATGTATTTAGTTACGAGAAATACATTGTGTGACATAACGACATATTTTGTGAGTACGTGGAATTTTAAAATCACAAGTTTTATATTTTAAGCCGCGGTAAGCTATTTTATTTTAGGTTACGTTTCTTTATCAAGATTGTTTTGTAGCTAATTATGGTTCTTTTCGATTCCCAGAACGTTGAAATTGTCATCAAATTTTACCTGTAATATATCGTTTTAATCCTTTTGATTTACTTCCTATTAGATCTTTTTACCACGAGAGACACTCTACTTTCTTACTGAACACCTTATATCACTGCACATTTGGGGAGTTCACCCTTAGCAAAAAGTCCTACAGAATAGCAGTGTAGAATTCTATAGAAAATCTATAGAGTTTTTTGGGGGGCGTGTCCCATGTTCTATAGGATAAAATTCTATAGTATTCTACAGAATTTTGGGGGCCTGTAGGAAATAACGGCCCCAAATATTCTACAGTTTCTGTAGCGCACATCCTATAGTTTTTCCTACAGATTTATGGCAAAATTTCTATAGGAAAATACTGTAGTATTCTATAGGTTTTTTTTTATTGCACTTTCTGTAGGAAATTCTGCAGTTATGTATAGGAATGAATACTGTAGTGTTCTGTAGTTTGGAAATTGGGCCACTATAGTTTTCTGTAGGAATGGGTACTATAGAATTTTATAGACTTTTTTTTATTTAATCTTATTTTGGGAATAAATATAGTTGGTCCATGATTTCTTCTAAATTGATAAGCTTATTTTTCTCTCATAAATTCTTCTAAATTGATAAGCTCATTTTTTCTCTCATGGATTAATCTGAATTCTATTGATGATTCTTTTCTTGGTAAAACTGAAATATAGGGAAAAGAATAGGTAATAAAGTTAAATAACAAAATCACATAAATCTTATCTAATTAAAGTAATTTAATATTATTGTTAAGAAAGTAATAAAGTATACTTATCTTTCTATCTTTAATCGACTCTGTGAAAACACACCACCATTCTCTTCAGTTTCTTGTTAATACTAAAGTTGTTATACACTGAATTTTTGAATTTTAAATTCAGCCAATGGCCAAACAGATTTCAAGAGAGTACATTGGCTGTTAATTATGGTTTGTCGACAGGTATTCGCGGTTGACAGAATCTGAGTACAGAATCTGCTATAGTCATTAAAATCTAAATAAACTGTGTCTTTATTTCATTGACTTCTGAAGAATAATTTATTATCTGATATTTTTGTTGTGAACATCTACATTTACTGGCATTTTTTGGAGGGTGGGGTGGGGAATTCCTTTGAGTGTCAACGTGTATCACTATTTCATTCATATTAAATACACTATTTTATACTTTATATTTTATTTTTCGTGAAAAGCTTATTTTAGTTTGTCATTTGGTATCACAATAAATTAAGGAAAACTGCATCCAGGAAAATTATGTTGAAAAAGTTTACATTATTCACACAAGTGAATCACTAAATTCTATTGTAAACTATAGTATGAATAAAAGACATCGCCAATTTATGAAATCTGTAGTATAGAACATTGTTTCTACAATATTATGTAGGAAACTATAGTAGGCTATTTGTTAAAATGGTTCAAGTACAGTATACATATAAATTCTTAGTTTTCAACAGAATGTCATGGACAACTATAGGAATATACTACTGACTTGAGACAATAAGTTAGTTCTATACAAAACTATAGTTTTTACCACCAAATCTATAGGAATCACAGCTGACATGAGAATACAAGTTAGTTATATAGCAAACTATAGTTTTTAGCACAAAGG